AGGAACCCTGCAGGCACGTCCTCCCCCTCCCACAAGGCCAGCTGGGGTGAGACGCCATCCAGGTCCAACCCTTCCAGCAAAAGAGCCTTCAGGAATGGCTCTGTGACCCTGAGTTCTCAGGAGGAGTGAGGAGCTGAGCTCTGAAATCCACTGTGACCTCTTTCAAAGTGCAGGGACTCTGCAGGGTACAAATTTCGGAGAAAAATATGAAAATACTATTTTGCCCAGTGGTGCAAGGAAATACTAATAAACAGAAGCCCCTGGCCTTGGATGTTTTTTCCATTTTTTTTGTGACAAAGACCTGTGTTTTTTTAAAAAGTTAATTTCAGAGGAAAGTAAAGAGTAAAGCAATGATGTGGATGGGCAATTAATTGTTTTGAAAATGAAGGAAACAAAGAGAAAATAAATTCTTAAAACCTAAGGGCATGGTCTGCTAGATTATTCCTCAGCTCTCTGGATAATAGAGAAAGCAAAAAATCTATGTTTTTATTTAGAATCTTATTGCATTGTTATTGGAGGTCATGCAATTCAGTATTTTTTTAAAAATGCAAAGCTGTTTGTAAAGATGGAGCGTCTCCAGCTAAGATTTATTTGGTTTGAAATCTCATGCTTATAGCTTTCTCTTTTTCCCTATCTGGGTCGTACTCTTCCTCCCTGTCCTCCCTGCTTCCTTCTCTCTCCCTCTCTTTTATCTTTCTCTCCATCCATCAGTAATAATCACCCCTGATGACCACATGCTTTATGGAGCCTAAGCAGTGTCCCATGAAGAGTTGGAAACAAACTCCTCATCACTTTACTGATACCGCCATTTGTTTACTTACCAGGGTGTGACTGTCAGCACTAACGTGAAACTGCTTCATCTGGTCTATTGGCAGAACAATGAAGGCAGCCATCCTGGGTGTGGAAAGAAATATCAGTTTTAGTTAGGCAAGCTGTGTTCCCATTTGATCAAGATTTTTTTGCACCATAACTTGATCTAATTGCCTTGTCAACATTTATACCATGTCCTGTATCTCTTGGCTACATGAAAATATCTTACCTCTGATCTTGAATAATTTTACATTTCACCCATATCACCCCATCTGGCTCTACATTTGTCTGTCTCTACATTTTTTTTTCTTCTTTGAACTCTTTGCAGTAGGTGCTTAAAAATATAAGACTCTCTGCCTGCTTGTTCAGAGAATTAGATTTTCCCCCACTTTCCCATTTAGTAAGCAGGCCTGATAGGTTGTCTTTGTAGAGTCTCATCTGGTCTTCAACCTATTTGTGGATGTTGCCCAAGTATTTATTATGGTGGGCCTGGCACAAGGTACAATATGTATAAGAACCCACTTTGCATCCTTTGGTGATTCCCCATATAGAATATGAAAGAAAATCCACAAAAACCTGAAGTAAACACCCAAACGCATCAAAGACCTGTCCTACATGCCAGCTCATTTCTTCTCCCCAGACAATGCCTCTTTACCCACTTCTTCATTCCTTGAGACAAGGATTTGAGTGAAGTGAATTTACTTGAGAAGTCATTCTGGGAAACATCAAAAGGGGAATGAGAAAGTAAGTCAAGAAAAGGTGGGAAGATATAATAATAAAATGTACATGGTTAAGCCAGTTACCATTGGGGATTTAGAGCCCAGTCTCACTGGAGACCTCTGGGAAACAGTAGAACATGCGTCAGAGTTGTCCCAAATGGAGGACAAGGAAGCTGGGGTATGTATCCACTATCTCACCATCTTGTTATCACCATTAACTCTCTGGAACTTCCAGTTTTTCCGTCTTGTGGCCTGAGCGTGCCCCTATAATTCCCTTCAGGCAAAAAGTCATGCCTAGGAAGAGGTCTTCAGCACGTGGAATTTTGTAAAAGCCAAGCAGATGTCCCAGGCACTGATGGCACCTGTGCCGGGGGGGTGGTGGGAGGAGTGGGGGGCTTCACCACTCTCTCTGCTGGTTCATAGAAGGCTCTGTCTGCTGTGCTCAAGAATTTGCTTGAAGATACTTCAGTTCAACATTATGTATTCAATCTCTACATTATGTTTGGCACTACTAAGTGCTGAAGATGGAGAGACAGATAAAATACTCTGGCTTTGAATCACTTACAATCCAGAAGGACAATATATATATATATTGGAGATATATATATTCTCCAATATTTTCTCATATCATGAAACCAAATAAGTATTTCTGGTCCCCTTCAGGGACCTGAAAATGAGACTTCATTTCTAGGCATTTAGGAATGTAGAACATTCCTTTCTTCTCTCTCCCCCAATCTTCCTGCCCTCCTGTCCTACCCATTCCCAATTTTACTTAATTTACCACAGATCACTATTCAAGTATCAGTCACTTAAACATCTTTCAAAAGTCTCCACCTACCTCACAAAGGTGGGTTGTTAAAAGCTGTCTTCAAATCCTACATGTCCTCAAACATTGCAGTTACCTCAGCATATTATAACTTCTTGATTATTTATCTCTATTTTCCACGATAATGTAGATTTCTTGAGGACAGTGAATATGACTTGTCCACCTTTATTTTGTGGGCATCTAGCATACTGCCAGGCACCTGGTGGATATCTAATAATTATCTGATGAATGATAAATATTTTTTCACAGACATGCGTGCATACACACACACGCACACACTCGTGGCCAGGTAGGATGGCATTCAATGCCACTAACTATGTTTTATTTGCCTTTAAGCTAAGCCAGAAATCCCCATGATTATGGAAAATAACTCCGTGGATGTCTCAAGGGAGGTGAGTCACATAAAAGCCTTCGAAATCCTGTAGTATCATATGCCAAAGGTGTGTCAGGTTGCATAGTTGCCAGGAATGTTCTCTCAAAGATCTTACTCCTTGGCTCTCAGCCAATTAACTACTGATGCAGATGTAGGGAAGCTGAGTTGATTCTAGAAACTGAATGGAAATACTTACTTTTAGACTTAGGACCTTCAGAATGTTTGGTCTGCATCCTCAGTCCTTACTTTTTCCAGAAAAAATAAAATAGTTGCAATTGTTTACATTTCTCTTTCATAAAAATGGAGGTGGATAGTGAGGGGAAAGTAGGGCAGAAAGCAGTGTGAATCCTTGTGTAAGGAGACTTTTGCTAAGCTGACATTTAATTGGTTCTAATCCGTTTCCAGTACTAGCTTTCACATTGTTTTTATTTCAGAGTGACAAGATGCAATTTATCCTCTTGTCCTCCTTCAGAACCCTGGCGATTTCTTTGTCAGTCAGAAGAAGGGCAGGAGAAAAGAGGAAAGTTGAATAGGTCTCTCTAATTTCTACTTCTTGTGGGAGGTGGTTCCCAGCCTCCAGTCACTGGACTCCAAACTCACTTCCCAGCCCTTCCTCTTCATGGCCATGACCTCGGGCAAATTACTTCACATCTCTGTAGTCAGTTTCTCCATCTATATGGACATAATAGTATCTATACGTGGTTGTCTTGCAGAATTAAATTAAATAATGTTAGAAAAGTCCTTAGTACAGTGTGTGGCATATATTAAGTGTTTAGTAAATATTATTGTCCTTTTGTGGCTGTTACTATTATATATTTTAATTAGCTATGTTATGGTCTTATGACTTCACTCAGACTTTTCAAAACCCATGTGAAATGACTATTCTCTTTAGTTCTCAAACATTTCCTGTTACATGGCATGAGAGAAAGTTATATTCATCTTCTAGTTTCTTCTCACCCCAATAGCACTAAAGAACTTATGTTTTGTAGTCCTGCTGAATATCCGTCATTTAATTGGACAGCTGCGTAAAAATTATAGCTCAGATTTGGGGGATGGTTTTGTATGACTATGTATGACTGTATATTCACACACACACATACACTCCAAATATTTGTGCTTCTTGTAGGTTTCATGAATTAGTCTCTCAGATAACTGCTACTGTAATCTTGAGTACATGGCAAAAGATTTAATCATTTTCATGGCATCACAATTCAATGTCTAAGTTCATTAGTGAACTTCATCACAATAGTTTAAATTAAAAACATAATCAATGATGCAGGTTTTGGTAGGTGCTTTTGTTTCTAGTGTTAATATTTACAGGATATCTGGGCTCAGTCTAGATAGAGAATCACGAACTGAATCCAAGAAATCCAATTTTTCTTAAAAAAGGAACCTTATCGGTAGCTCAGTCAGCAGGGCGCCAGCCACATACACCTCAGGTGGTGGGTTCGAACACAATCCAGGCCTGTTAAGCAACAATGATAACTGCAACCAAAAAATAGCCCGGTGTTGTGGTGGGTGCCTGTAGTCTCAGCTACCTGGGAGGCTGAGACAAGAAAATGTTTAAGCCCAAGAGTTTGAGATTGCTATGAGCTGTGGTGCCACAGCACTCTACGTACAGCAACAGCTTGAGACTCCATCTCAAAAAAAAAGAAAAGGAACTTTGTCTTTCCTTGCTGAAGTGCTGACTAGGAAAACCAGAGAATTTTACTTCCTGGAGAATTAATGAATAATCTCTCTCCAAGCACACAGAGCCAGCTACAGGACATGGCTTGTTCTGGGATCTTTCAAGAACCTGCCAAACATTAGAAACTCCTTGCTCTAATATTCTTATAATCCCTGCTGTATTTTAATAACTCATTAACTCTTCACAGCCCTTTCACATAGTTTTTTTGTTTGTTTGTTTGTTTTTTTTTGAGATAGAGTCTCACTATGTTGCCTTTGGTAAAGCTGAGGCATCACAGCTCACAGCAACCTCCAGCCCTTGGGCTTAAGTGATTCTCTGGCTTTAGACTCCCAAGTAGCTACTGTAGGACTACAAGCTCTGCCACAACGCCCAGCTATTTTTTGTTGCAGTTGTCATTGTTGTTTAGCTGGCCTGGGCTGGGTTTGAGCCCGCCACCCTTGGTGCATGTGGCTGGCACCGTAACCACTGTGCCACGGGCGCTGAGCCCCTTTTCCATAGTTTTATCTCATGGTGCTCCCAGTGAGCCTTTGAAATAGGTATGGCATCTAGCATGTCACAGATGGGAATTTGGGGCCGGGAAAGAATAAACGGCTGCCTGCCCGAGTCACTGATACAGGGCAAAGCTGGGGAGGGGGGATGTACAGGTAGGATGTATGGTGAAAGGCCATCACGTTTCAGCGTCAGTTAGACTGCTGTCAAATCCTGATCCAACCACTTACTGGCTACCTGTCCTCATCAACTAGTTAACCTCCCTGAGCCTCCGCTGACTCACCTGTAAAACTGGGGTAATAACAAATACTTCACAGGATTCTTAGGAGAATTATAGTGGTGCATAATAATGGCATACGTGGCACGTGGTGGAGTCTCTGGAGTATTTCTCCCTGACCACCTCTTCCCATTCACCCACATTCCTATCACTCATTCCTTGCTCCACACTTATGTTCATAAGTCTGCCACGTGATGGATTCTAAAAAACAAAGTGGGATAGTGAAAAAAAAAAAAAAACGGAGCCCAGATTGTGTACCCTGACAGAACTAGGTTTGAATTCTCCTCTGTCACTTATTAACTTGGACCCCCAGGACCTCCAGTCTTTAACTGCTTCACCTGTGAATGGGGACAAGGATTCCCATCTCACAAAGGCAATGCAAGAATCCATTGAGAAAGGGTAAGCAAATCAGTTAGCACCTAACCACCACAAATATTTGATACTGGCATTCCCTTCCCTGCCTTCTATCCTTAGAAAGCCACGAAGTCATGCTGGGTATGTGGCTCATGCCTATAATCCCAACACTTGGGAGTCTGAAGCAGGTGGATTACCTGAGCTCATGAGTTTGAGACCAACCTGAGCAAGAGCAAGACCCCCATCTCTAAAAAATAGCCAGGTGCTCTGGTGGGTGCCTAAGTCCTAGCTACCTGGAAGGCTGAGGCGAGAGAGTCGCTTGAACCCAAGAGTTTGAGGTTGCTGTGAACTAAGTTGCCACAGCACTCTACCAAGGGTGACCAAATGAGACTCTATCTAAAAAAAAAAGGGGGGGGGCACTAAGTCAACATAGAGGTGTTGGGTGCCCACTCTGTGCTACATGCTCCTACACAAGTAGCACTCAGAGCTGGGCTGTCCTAGACACTTAAACGGTCATGAGCTGTGTCTTCCTGTGTTACTTAAACATAAAAAGTTTGTGGGTAATTTAGTTTTTTGCTATAAAATAGAGAAGACCCAAAATTATTCTAACTATGATGCTACTTAGGTGTGGACATGCCAGGGCTGTCTAAGGAGCCTGTCACACCTGTGGGTGTTCTTGTGCATTCCCAGGGGCAGGACTCCAACATAGCACACAGCATCACTCCTGAAGCTAGGATGGGAAAGAAGGCTTTAACCTCAATCTCAGAGCCCCTCCGTGTGGCAGATTTTTGCATTAGAGCAAAAGATGTCCAGCCAAAGTGTCCCTCAGCCCATGGTCAGTGGTGCAGCCTAAGAAGGCACAAGAGGGACACATAAAAACTACAGTGTGCACACCAGCCGGTCTTTCCACAAGCCACATCCGTCTCTCTTTGCTGCTTGCTCTGTCTACTTTAACCCCACCTTCTCCGTGGGTCTCGTCTTTGTCACTCTCTACCTTTGACTAAATTTAGGGGAAAGGTATGTATTTATCAAAAGCAGGAAACAAAAGCAGTTTTGAGTTAAGATGCCTATACAGGGAAACGCTACAACAATAAGAACCACATAAAACAGATAACCAGACTCTGAAAACCGCACTGCAGTCAGCATCAGAGTTCAGCAGGAGAATGCTTTTTGCAGAATTCAACTATTTGTGTTTACTTGGTTTGGATTTTGCAAAGCTTGAACCTTTGTGGATTCCTGGAGCTTCTTAAATCGCCTTCTAAATATATGTGGTTTGGGTTTTGCTTTCTTAAAGATTAGGCATCACAGCCTGATATTTCCTTTCCTGGCATCTTTTGCGGCACAAAGGGCTCTGACCCCAAATGTCCAGGCACGACCCCTGTCTGCACTGTTGAGCCCCTGTGCGTGTGCCTCAGATGGAGAGGCCCTGCCTGCAAGGGGCCCTACAGCCTGTGGGGAAACCACGTGGCAACTGAAATCTTCACTATCAGGCATATTTCTAGAACAAAGGACATGGCAGGCCTGCAGGATAGCCCGGGTGCTTCATAAACCAGGTGTTTGGACTTCTGTTTGTTCCACAAACAGCTGACTCACAGGAAGATGGGTCTAGGTGGTAAGAGCTGCCTTGCAAGTCTGGGAGTCAGAGTGAGCCTCAGGAGTGAGACCCAAAGGAGGCCGGACGCCATTGTGACACCAGAATTTTTATCTCTTCTCCCCTTCAATAGTTCTCTCCCAACTCCATCTCTACTACCAACACAGCTAAAAAAAAATAAAAGCAGGGGGTGTCTGGAGGGGTCCTAGAGAAATCTTCTGAAACAAATGTCACCTCCAGTCCAAAGGCCAGGACAGTTTCCAGTTTGATTTTATTCTATTCCTCAGGTAATGTTTTAGGCATATCCTCAGCAGCCCAGGAAACTTGTCTCTCCCTGTGGAATGTTACCTTCCCTCTTTTGAAAGTATTTCTGAACATTTAAAGATGAACAGTATAAAAAATAAAACAGAGAACAATGGATTGGCACACAGTTAGCATTTTAGAAGTACAAATAAAATCTCAAACCTACTGCTCAAATGAGTGTCTGGTCTGTGGGCAAAATCAAAACCAGCTCAGCTCATTAAAATTGACCTCAGGATCTAAGAAAATAGTCTGTCCTTCACCCACTCAGACAGTCATGGTCCCTTTCCTGGTTCTTGGGAGGATTTTCCTTAGAACACTGTCTCCCTCTCCCCCATCTTCACATTTCTTCTCTCGCCCTCTTCTCTCTTTCATACTTTCCTTCATCTATTCCTTATTTCTACTTCCTAGTCCCATCCCTCTGTTTTCTTTTTCTTTTGGAGTTTCCTTTATCTCTTCCTCACTAAGTCCTTCTCTCTTCACAGAACTTCATATGAAATTAGGTTATAATTTTAAAATCTGAGTAAATCTTTACATCTTCTATTCTTAATATTGAAACCAAGTGAGTTGAAGAATCTTTCATTTTCTCTGTGCTAATTACATATCAATTAGTTTCAGTGTTAGGTTGTTGAAAAGACTCACAGGACTCAGGCAGGTTAGAGTGACACAGAGGCTTTAATACAAGCAGAGGATACAACAGGGCAACAGGAGAAAGATTGGAAGGGTCCAGAGAAGTCGGACTCAAGCTTCTTTGCCTTCCACTGCTGGATCACACTGAGCAAGCTTTGCATCCGGGTCTCCGGGTACCAGCAGTAAACACCTCAGTCCCAGGAAGCTCAAGCTCTGCTTGTGGCAGGGCCTGAGAGTGAGCTGGTCACATAGGCACATTCCAGCTACCTGACCAGCCTCAGCTGCCAAGACATTTCAGCTGCACCAAAACCAAGAGTTAGGCAGAAATCCAATTATTTTTTTTAAACAGTGTTGACAGGCTCATGCATTCTGCCCTGAAACAACTCACAGGCCCATGGTGACAAAATAGCTTTTATCTTTAGTCTGTACATTTTAAATCTTCGACCAAGGCTTAGCACAGCTCTAGGAACCCCATAGATAAGCATTTGCTTCATTCAAACCTACTGAGATTAGCTCATACTATGCGCTCTTTCACATATGAACAAAATGTCACTAAACTACTTTACACTGAGGCTGGCACTAAAATGGCTCTCTGGTATGAGTCTGAACTTGGTGTTCCCAGATAGATCCCCAAGCCTGACTTAAACAAAATGGAAGGGATGTGCCACGGCCGGCAGGCCTTCCCCTCCTTGCTGGCTGGCCTCCTTCTCAGCCCTCACCTTCCACCTCATCTCCAGGATGGCCCTCTCTACCTCCTCCAGCGCCCGCTCTCGCCTTTCCACTGCCCTCTCCCGCCATTCCACAGCCCTCTCCCTCCTGAGCACCTCCTTTTCCCGCTGGCTAGCCCACAAAGCCAGGGCGCCCACCTGCTCCAGGAGCCTGCCCCAGTCACCCTCGATGCCCACAGGGAGTGGGGGGCCCTGGGGCCTGAGGTCCGGGCGTGGGCCCGCCTGGCCGTGGCCACTCTTCTCCAGCTCTTCTCTGTGCATGCTCTTGAGGTGTTTCCACAGGGCCGTGGTGCCCACATTGACCCCAGGGCCACGGCTCACCTGCCTGCCACACAGGCGGCAGGTGGCATATTGGTTGGGGTGGTGCCCTGCACGAGCAGGGGCGAGGTGGAAATACTCCCACGCCTCCGAGAATCGGGTCCCCTTGTTGTGGGGCATGGGGGTGGGCATGGCACTCACAAAAGGACTGACCAGCTCTCCTGTCACACCGACCTCTGCCTCCTCCTTCATCTCTAACTCCCCTTTGGCCTTCATCCCGATTCCCTCCCCATCCTCCTCTTCCCGCCTCATCCTGTCTCCTCTTCACAGCTTGCTCTATGATGTGCCTGGACGTAAGCCAAAAGGCTTCATCAAACCACGAGACTAACTGTGTTTCTGAGAAGGGACTGTGGTGGCTCGTGGAGATTCACAGCAATGGTCAAAGTCCAGCCGCACCTGGGTAGTATAATGGTTCCTCCTTTCTGCTTCACTGGAGAGTCAGGGGTGAGTCAGATGCCAGCAGTGGCCTGTGAATGCGTTCCCTCCATGCCCCAGATACCCGCCGGCCCCTCCCGACTAGGCCAGAAAGACAAAACACTGCAAGTCCTGTGGCAAACGTGTTCCCTGGCCCAACAATTACAAAGCTCGTTAATGAACTCAATGTTTTCTATATCAACCACCATAACAAGTATTTCTGAATAGTGAAAATTTTAGATTTTCTCTTAATTCTCCTCCTAGATGCTTCTACTGTTTCTGTGCTCCTTGTTACCTATAAAATGCACTTAGGACGCGGGAGGAACAGCCTCGGGGTTTAGGCTCCTCAGGGCTGTCAGGGATGGTGCCCAGTGGCACTCACAGACAGATGTTGATGTAGGAGACAATCCTGCTTCCTGAGAACTATGGCCACAGACAGTCCAGAGTAGGCAAAGCTTGCCAAGATCTGGATACAAGAGTTCCAATGTGAGGTCAGTTTGTCCTTAGAAGGCGTCTCTCTGAGGCTGGGATTCTAAGAAATCCAAACGGCGAGCCCAGCTGGGTCAGCTGGAGTTGCTGGCATGCAAAGAGGAGGAGGTGGAGCGAACTGCTGGGACGGTGTGGCCTGGTTGTCCTCGGCAAGCAGCTCAACTTACTTCACCTTCCTCAGCATGGTCACCTGCAAAGCTAACAGCGAATAGGACCTTCAAGTAGGAGGTAACACTATACTCCAAACACTCAGCTTAGTCACTCCATTTTGAGGATAAATAAATGGGAAATTATATTTCCCATTTTTTTTATAAACAACTTGCCTTCACTCTCCTTTCTTGGCTCATTTCTTAAATGAATGAGAGCTTTATTCATCCCTGACAGTTAGGAAAGTCCCCCCAGCCATAAGTGGGTACTTACAGGCAAGCAAGGCTCTGGACTCGTCTCTGATCTCTCCGCTGCTGAGTGGATGCATTTCTGCACACCCTGGATGACTGTTAGCTGACTCCTACCCCCAGGAGGAGGGCACCTCCAGTTCTGGTTTCCTCCCATTTTCAGGGGAGCTTTGTTTCCAAGAGGGTGTGCCTCTGTCGGTCAGATTTTTCTGCAACTCTTAGACACAAATGCAAACCTTTTCTCCACCCCTTCACCACCAAAAAAAAAAAGAAACAGATGTTCCTGGCCAAAGTCAAAACAGTAAGTCAAGCAACTACAAGTCTTAGTTCTGTTTCTCAATGACTAGATCATCTGGCTTCTCAAGCAAAGCAAGATGTTTAAGGGGGAATGTGAGGGGTGGGAAAGTCTGAAATTCGTCTCTGCACAATATGCCTGAAGAACACCTGGATTTCAGGTATTTTGTCCAATTGTCAGACCTTGAGTCTTGATTTGTGGTTTGGCAACTATGGTCATTGCAAATACAATCAGTAGAAAAACCCAAGAACTTGTAGAAAGGGGAAGATTAAGTAAAAGAAAACCCCTAAAATTCAATGGCACATTGAGAAAACAGATTTTGAATGCCTTTTATTATCAATATATTGTGTAACTAGAGTTGGAAAAGCTGAAATTCTAGTGGCTCCTTCCTCCCAGAAATAGAGGTATAATCGCAACTCAAGCAAAAATGTATATTTACATGTATATTACATCCATCATATATGTGTATATATGTTAATACATATTTAAATTTGAGAAGGAAAATATGCCAAAGAGGGACAGGTACATTTTAAGAAGGTATAAATAGACTTGGTATAGCAGAAAACACGTAAAGACTGAAAGTTAAATTTCAAGCAGAAAAAAAGAAAGTGGAGGAGGAAGACTTCTAAATGGGAATAAAGAGTTAGACAGATAAGCAAACTTTCTGTTGAAAATGTTTCCTTTCTAAACGAAAAAGCTAAATATTTTCAAAATGATTCTAACAAAAACCCTTTGGAAAAGATTCTATTCAAACTTACGCAAGGAGAACGTGCATTAACTTAGAGATGGTCAACATTTCAGTGTTTCCTCTGTGGAAATAAGGACATGATTAGCTTACGGGCAAGTTTGGACTGCTTTTTTCTGATTTACTCAATCTCATTACGGTCCACCTATCCACTGCTTTCTTTCTGCTTCCAACAAAAAACATCCAACTCATCCAGAGCCTCAAGGTGCTCTGCCAATGAGCCCACCCCAGCCATCCATCTTCATGAATTTCCCACTACTTTCCAACATAGATCACCTGTAGAATCCAGTTCTGTTCTCTAAGTTATTCCCAAATTTCACTTTTCTTTGTATTTCAGCACAACTGTCCAAATACTTTTTGGTACTTACTGTATTATTCTTTGTGCTATTGCTCACTTATTCCATATGTACTAGGATAATGCATTAGAAAAGTCAGTTAATTGGTCTCTCAGTGCAACAGCCATGCAATGAATGAGCGAATGATTTTTGACACCTTGCCCGAGGAATGTGTGTGTGCATGTACGTGTGTGCACATACACTTTCGTACTTTATATTTTTTCAGATTCAACACAGTTCTCGTCTTGCTCATTTAAGCCAAGCAGAAGTTCCTAAATACAGACAGCTATCCTTACTCAGCAAAACCTATGAAAGTCATTTGACCTCAGCTTGAACTACTTTAGTCTGCACCTTTTCAATTTTAGACACCTAGGAAAGAGTTTTAAGACAAGAACCATAATCCTAAACTAATTCTTGGAACACAGAGTGTAGAGAGTATAGAATATTTAAAATCTAAATCATTGCAGAAATCTGAGCCTAGATTTCCTCCAAGAGTCAAATCTTTTCAATGTTTTTAGGAGCTGATAAGAGATTTCTTCAGTGAGCCAATTGTCTTTGGGAAATAATGGAAACTCTCTTTCACTATCATCTTTTAGTGGGTTAACTGAAGATGGAGCAAATGAATCATGAGAATGGTTAATGGTATTGTATTTAATACAAACCTTTACCATGTTTTTAACACTTCATCTCTTGTACTTCTGTACCTCTTCCTGGACCAAATGGAGAGAAAAATCAATCTTTGGCATTTATCGGATTAAATTAACTAAATTCTCTTTCCTTAATAAGAATGTATTTTAGGAGACTTGGTTTTACTTTGGCTTTTCTAAGGGTAAAATGACATGATTTCATAGGTGTACATTCCTTACACACACACGTGTCCTCATTATCTGGAAAGACCCAGCATTGAACAAGTGGAAATACTGGGAGCTATCATGTTTGCCATTTGCTGTCTTAGATATGATAGACAGATTCCTCTGAAATTCTCCTTGTTTCCATGGGATTTTTGTGGCAATGTAGTAAGGGATGGTAAGCTGCACCTTAGTAAGCTCTCACCCACTAACTAACCAGAAAAATGAGATCCATTTCTCAGCTCTGTAGGTTCTGCCCTGGGGGTGGGATGGGGGAACTAATTTGGGGATTAGTGCACAAAGCATCACACACAGTTCATTGTTCTTTATTAATTAACTAGTATATTCACTAATTGTAAAATGTATTTGGGATCTAAGAAGTAGGGTCAGTTGTATGTAAAATATATATATATCTTGATGAGAAAACAAGTAATGACAAGTGGTATAATTTTGCAGGGTCTAAGATACAATAATGTGGATCTAATAACTCTTATTGGATTATTTTCACCAGGCTGTTGAAGAAAATATCATCCCTCAAAGAACAAACTATTTAAAATAAAATATAACTAACCTTTTGCATCATTTGGGAAATAGAATCAATATGCAGATTCCAATCTAAGAGCTTTTACTCTAATGACATATTCCTCCCTGACCTCTACTCGTTATACCTTCTTCATTCTATCTTTTAGTTTCCCTTTAGTATTATTTTATTCTCTAAAGAGTTATGACTTCTCTTTTCCAGAATCCAAACTTGCAACATTAGTACAGTCCTAGATTCTTAAATTGACCTAGGATTCCAGCCATAAATTTACAATATCTCTATAGAACATAGCTGATTTACAGGCCACATTTTAATGCAACCTATATTCAAGGTAGATACCATCGTGTAGTTATTCAGTTAAAAGTAGAGAAAATAATTTCTGGCCAGTTTTTTCATGTCATGTTGATGAGAGATAAAGGGCACCAGTTTCTCCTGCATTTTCAAATAATTCTTATTCTGTCTGTCTTTACCCCAGAGAACATTTACCTGCTCACTAAAGAATGTATTTCCCAAAGCAAATCTCACATGGTTTATGGATGGAAGATTTCTTCAAGATGAAAATGAAGGTAAGAAAACTAATCAATGAAAATGGGTTTGGTCCAGAAAGCAAGAAATGTTACCAATTATCGTTGTCCAAGTTGATCTTGGTATCCAAGAAAATTCTCATTCCAAGAAAAATATCATCTTCCTTACCAGTTGTCATTTTCTGATACTTCATCTGGCTCCTCCAAGGGGGTGAAATGTAACATTTCCCAGAAAGAAAGAAATACTTTTGGCTTTGGCAAACCACATATAAACTGTTAGTAAAAGTACATATCATAGATGAGGGCAAAAAAAAAAAGTTTGATTTAACAGACACATATCAGGAAATTCTCTGCTCTTGTAACCTAGCAGTCTTTTCTTCATTTCTTTCTTATTCTAATATAAACTTAACTTCGTACCACTGCTTTAAATCAGTCAATCAATGTTTCTACTTTTTCTTGCATGGATTTGGGATGGGGATTGGAGGGCTGTAGATAAAGTGTCTGTAAAGGAGCTGACTACTCAGTAAGGAGCAAGTTCATCAGGAGGACTAAAAGTTCCCAGAACAGAAACACACACTGAGGCAAAGCTCAGGTCATAATTCACAAAGCCATCTTTTTCATAGGCAGAAACCATGATAGCCTCTGCCAGAATAATCTCAGCATCTCCTGCCTGGACAACAACCATTTTTCTTCTCCCAAGTCATCATTCCTCAAACATATTTTCAGTAGAAACAGAGTCACACAATTCTAGCTACATTGTTATTTTCAATTGATAAATTAAATGCTTATGAATGATTGCATTGGTCACTTGACAAATTTTGAGACTACTGTTGGTTTTCTTTTTTTTTTTTTATTTTTATTTTGATCTTTTTTGAGACAGTCTCACTATGTCACCCTCGGTAGAGTGCTGTGGCGTCAACAGCTCACAGCAACCTCCAACTCTTGGGCTTAGGTGATTCTCTTGCCTCAGCCTCCCAAGTAGCTGAGACTACAGGTGCCCATCACAACCCCCAGCTATTTCTTGTTGCAGTTGTCATTGTTGTTTTATAGCTGGCCCTGGCCTGATTCAAACTGCCAGCCTCAGTGTATGTGCCTAGCACCGTAACCACTGTGCTACAGGAGCCAAGCCACTACTGTTAGTTTTAGTTTGCTTTAAGAACTATTCATCCATAACTATGACAGAATATAATCCTAAAAATATCTATTAAAGATTATTATAAATGTATTCTTCTGTTACATAAGCTTTGCATAGGTAAAGCACCCAGATTTGATGTGTCCATCAATTTCCCAAGTAAGAGGCCAGATGGTGTCAGAATTCCACCAGCACAAAACTGCATTTAACTATTCCTTTGGCAAGTAATAATCTCACAACTAGCATTAATAATCTTTAACATAAAGAAGCTGTGAGGCTCCAGAAAGTTCTGTACTATGCTGAAAGATAGTTTTACCTTAATTTTCTGCTGCCATGTGTGCTATTTAAAAGTTGTACCAACAGCAGCAGAATTTGATTTCTAGAAAGACACACAGGACCCAAAGTGACAATACATATAAATATACAGCTTATTTCAGGGAAAGGATATGACATAGCAGCACAATTAAAATATGCATCATCTGCTACACCTATAGTATGGAGTTGGGAGAAGTCAGATTCGGCACCTTTGTCCTCTCCCAGCCAGATCAGGAACCAATGATAAGTGTGCTGAACAGCTCAGAAGTCGGAAGTCCAAAACAGAGGCTTTGCGGAGGTTATTTTATATTTTATTAGTCATTTGGGTATATTTCTGCTATATTACCAGAATCCACAGCAGAGCTTTCCTAGGATCTAACCCAGACCCAGTGATCAAATCATCACTCTCACAGTTATCAGTAAACAATGCTGATGAACTGGGGCAATCTGCCCCAAACCCCTGAACCCATGGTCACAAACAAAGCTACACTATTAATCAATACATTTTATACCTTGATCATCGATCAATGCCATGCCAGCGCTAGAGCAAACAGCTCAGGTTAATTCTGGGTCTGCTAAAATTGACCCTCACTACAGAGAAGCTGCATTTAGACCACCTTGCACTGTACATTGCCATAAATTGATAATGTCATGCCTCTGGCTCATACAGAACATGTTGGTGACTAGCCATGCTCTCATCTGTCTTATAGGAATATACGTTACTAATGAAGAGAGAAAAGGCGAAGGTGGATTGTTGGAAGTAACGTCTGTTTTAACAAGAGTGCACGAAAATAATCCAGCCCAATCAGACAATCTGACCATTTGGTGTATGGCTATGTCTCCAGGCCCTGGAAACAAAGTGTGGAACATCTCATCAGAAAAGATCACTTTTTCCTTGGGTGAGTTGTCCGTTGAGTAAGATCAAGAAGGATTGGCTGGCTCGGCACCTGTGGCTCAAGCCGCTAAGGTGCCAGCCACATACAACTAAGGTGGCGGGTTCAAATCCCCAGCCTGGGCCCGCCAAACAACAATGATGGCTGCAACCAAAAAATGGCCAGGCGTTGTGGCAGGCGCCTGTAGTCCCAGCTACTTGGGAGGCTGAGGCAGGAGACTCGCTTGAGCCCAGGAGTTGGAGGTTGCTGTGAGCTGTGATGCCATGGCACTCTACCCAGGGGGATAGCTTGAGGCTCTGTCTAAAAAAAAAAAAAAAAGAAGAAGAAGGATTGGCTAAGACTGCCACAAATTCAGAACATGTCATTATAAGTTTCTATAATATTTTAATCTCAGAAAACTGTCTATATAATTGAAAACGATTACATTTCAACTTATCAAGCATTTTTGACAAATAGAACTCTATTAAAAAGAATTTCTCCAAATAAAAAATTCCATTAATCCTAACTCTTAATTAACTAGCATTTTTGCTAATCTACTACTATATAGCAAAAATTAATGCTAATATTAAGGATCAATAAAGATTAAAAAGATCCTAAAATTTTGTGTCATTAAAAACATTCTTTATATATAGCCTATGTAATTTTAAGGTTTAGGAGTTGATAAACCATTATACAATATAAATACCATAAAATGGGGACTGTATCTTAATGATTTGAGTACTTATAGTTTAAAATACAATATCTGGCTTATTGAAAACTGATAGATAGGATCACTCTAGTTATTATAACTTTTGCCTAACCAGAATATTTGCTACCCTGAACCAAATCAACTAATGGAGATTTTACTTCATAAAAGATAAGAACAAATGTCTCAATAAATACAGTGATAACAGATATGCCTATAAAAATAGTTGTAATAACAACTGTCAAATATGCATATTTTAAAATAAACTTACAAAACTTAAACATATTTGCAAATCATTAGTACAACTCTAGAAGGCCATGACCTTCTTTAACCACCATCCTATTTTTAGAGGTACTATAATTCATAATATACTCAGAAAACACAGAATAATTTATAAAGGAAAGAGTTTTCCTTTGTTCCAAGGACACTGTCTGCATCTTGGGTCCTGCTCAGCTTTCACTAATGCAGCCGTTCATTACTGGGACCATTGGATAAAGGAGAGTGTACGTCTCACCACCACTCCGTCTCCACTACTCAGAAGCACGTGCCTACTGATTGTGGGACGGTGGCGTCACCCCTGTAGCCTGCCTGTGTGTCTATGGACATGTATGGCCACATTGTCCTGTGAACTTTGAGTTAATTATTCAGATGTGGTGATGGATTTACACTAACACAGCCTTACTCAACCTTGCCTAATTCTCTCAGGAATAAGTTCACCTCCTTCTTAGAAGGCTGGACGGGGGTAGGGTTGCAGTCTTGGAACAATGGGAAGGTAATTGGTTCTCACACAGATTTTCCAGAAGTCTTGGCAAAATCAAAGGACATGAACTAAAAGATCCAAAACCTTCAAATTCCAGAAGAGACTCCTATTCTCATCATCAGCAGAACCATGTCTGCTTAAAAAAACTTATATTCTGATGCTAAAACTGTGCTTGATTTTGGAAACAGAAAATCCTGAATGCTTTTAGAGCAACAGGAAGAATACTGATTCCAATACCCCAAACACACTGAAATCCTAATTTTGTAGGGCAGCATAATTTTAGGCTCTGAGTAGGTGGTTAATTTTTAATTAACAAATGACTATATTTTATGAGCAAATATTAATGACAATAAATCCTGAAGACTTCAGTTTCCCAGAATCACAGTACATCCTGGTTCCATTCTGACATAAATCCTTGGGAAAGATTTAGAAGATGCAGCCAGTCTCTGTAATGTCTTGCCCTATTTGCTACACATTCATAAACATGTACTTCCAAACATGCTCCTGGTCTGTGGTAGGACTGTTTCTGATGGATACTTACAAATTCTGGAGTAAATTTCTGAGGCCTGGTAAGAGCATAATTGTCTTGCCAAAATCTTATTGTTAACAAGATATTGAAATGAAAACACAGAAAAAAAAATCTATTGTCTGTGGGTGCTAGAGTAGAAAAATTCTGACTATATTACTGAGCAGAATAGAGATTTAGGTAAAGAAAGGGAAGAGTTCTGCTCTTTTATTCCCCCAGGGGGGTGATAATCTTGGAGACATGTGAGCAACACCCTCTGAGGTGCTCCCTTCCCCCTTCCCCCTATGCTCAGTCTCCTAGAAAGTTCAAGTGTCTGGTCATTCAAGTTCCTGAGAACTCAGAAAGGGGAAACCATCAGGGTTAGGGTAATCTGTGGCCTCTTCAAGCAGCTATCTGGGGATTTTACAGAATTCTCAAGAATCAACAACAAAATAAAAAAATTTTAAATGTCTTTCCAAAAACATCTGCCCTGCTAGCCTGTCAGGATGCCTCAAATTGCAGCACTGCTGAGTCTATTTTGAGCATACTCAAAGATTTAGGGTTTGCGGGGTTTTTGAGGTGGAGGAGAGATATTTTGTTTTAATCTGAAAGTTGATATTACCCACCTTGGGTGGGTAATATTTTGGCTGTCATCAGCCTTAACAGAGATTTGTTGATTAAATGGATTTCCAACTGTGACTGTTGAGATTCAAGACCTTTGGGATAGAAACAAAGAGAGTTATGTGCTGACAGGTTGTGTGTGTGTGTGTACATGTGTATCCTGGAATACGTAGAGGAACACAAAGACCTATCTCAATAGTGGGACAGGAGCACCACTGAATATTGAGGTGGAATAAACCCTGTAAGTCTGTGACTGATCCCAGGGTTCCTATCAATAGGGAGTGATGCTATGCATATAAATTTCCCAGGGGTCTTGTTAAAATGCAAAATCTGATTCAGTAAATCCATTTCTCTCTCTCTTTCTTTCTTTCTTTCTTTCTTTCTTTCTTCCTTTCTTTCTTTCTCTTTCCTAAAAGTTTATTTTATGTTATCTACTGGAGAACCATAAGTGCAAAGAGGCACTACTAAGTTACACAAAGCAGGTAATTTACAGTATTGATGTTTTTAGTGACGTTCCAAATTATTTTGTTTTTGTTTTGTAATCTGACTGCATTAAGATATCACCTAACTCCAATGAGAATGGTGCATATTAAAAAGTCCCAAAACGACAGATGCTGCTGTAGATACGGAAAGAAAGGAACTCTTATACACTGCTGGTGGGACTGCAAACTTCCATAATGCAAGCTCTATGGAAAATTGTATGGAGATACCTCAAAGAACTTATGGTAGTTCCATTTGATCCAGGAATCACTCCCACTGCTGGGTATATACACAAAGGGGAAAAGGTCATTTTATGAAAAGGATACCTGTACACGAATGTTTATAGCAGCACAAATAATATCACAAAGACATGGAAACAACTAAGTGCCCACAATACAGAAATGGATTAATACAACGTGGTATATGCATACTATGGAATATTACTTAGCCATATAAAACTGGTGATCTAGTATCTTTTGTAACAACCTGGAGAGAACTAGAAAATATTCTTCTAAATGAAATATTCATCACAAAAATGGAGAAACAAATACACATACTCAATACCAAGTTGGAACTAATGAACGCACTTAGGTGCACCTATGAGAGTAAATCTCAATGAAAATCTAGCTGAGGAGAGGAGGGAAGAGAGAGGAAGGGATGGGTAGATACACACCTATTGGCTATAGTGCACACTATCTTGGTGAAGGGCACACTTACACATACAGCTTTGACCCAATCTATACAAGAAACAAAATATGTCAATAAAAGATGTGTACCTCCTAATAGCCTGAAATTTTTAAAAAAAGACACACACTCCAAAGCAAAGAAACAACACAGACTGAATTAAGTACACAAAGATCTCATTATTGGAACATAAGCCATGGTTATTTTAATGCTCTCACAGTTTCAAAATTTTGAGAATATGCTGGCATTATGTAAGAAGGAGGAAGAAGGTAAGGAGAAGGAGGAGGAAGATAAGGAGGTAGACAGAGGCCTAATTACGAATTCCTTGCCACTGGTAGTGAATAAGGACTAAGCACAGACAATGAGTATAACATAGATACTTATTCACATAATAGAGAGGGGACTACTTTAACAATCAACTAATGCTGACTCCCTATAGAACTCTGCTATCACTCAGGTCTTATTTTTTCCTTTATCTATGTCATTTAAATTTCATCATGATGAATAATGCCTTGTATCTTTTTCTGGGGAAAAAAAATGTTCTGAATGCAAGTGTTTGGCTTTGTTGTGTAATACACACAACTTTTTAGTGTCATAATACAACCTATGTCCAAACAATAACAATCTTTTGATACTAAGGGTTTTAGCTTCCACCAGTTCCTACTTCTTCATTCTTTCAGAAGTAATTTTATATATGTTTCTTAAACAACACATACTATATGTAAAATATAAGAATTAATGTACATTCCCAAGGTCAGATCCAGTGACAAAATGCACTCCCTGTGTCTCCCTGTGTCAAGCTGTCTCTGCATGAGAGCTGTGTATGAGAAACATGGGCTGCATTGTTTTGTGGTCCATGCAGTAACTTTTCACAAAAATCAAGAAACTAGACATTCTTCAGCTACTAAAATGAACCCTCCTAGGCAAGAGACTTACCAACAAGACTAAAAGCACAATGGCTGCATCAAAAGCATGCTGGGCTGACATAGTATTGGAAGAGTTGGTTGGAAGAGCCACAGGGAAGCAATGGTGGGTGCAAACTGTCGTCTTGTTTTCTTGTGGCACTGAGACTATTCTCTTCTCATAGGATTTTCCCATATGCCACAAGCTTTTGCTAAAGAGGCATTTTAGACTTCAAGTTAAAACAATCACTTCCTTTGATGAAAAAGCTGAGAAATACCTGTCTTGAGTTTTTGATTCTGGAAACAGCTTACTATAGGTCCTTAAGGCAAATGCCAGAAGTCAAAGAAATTGTAGAGCAGTCTCAGCAT